CCCCCATACCCACCCCCAAGCCCCCCTCCCCCTCCCCCACTTCCCAAAGCTGAACACAGGGTTACAAATATAATAATCATAATCTAACTAACATTAACCAACTATTTAAGTAACCAAGTCCATAACGCACTTTAACTCCCCTTTAACATAAATTTAAACAATTTAAAAACAATAATAAATAAGTTAACAACCTAATTGTTAAACAATACAATATTAATACTAAAAATAATAATAATATCATATAATTAAAACTAACAAAAAATCCACTATAATAAACTATTAATAATAATAATACTCTAAAATTTACTCATAAGCCAAATGGAAATTTTTAGTCCCGTATTTGTTCTGAATATAATCTATCCATCTTCTCCAGACCGAAATGTATCTTGCTTGTGAATGATCCTTCAAGTAAGCAGAAATCTTGGCCATTTCTGCTAAATTTGACACTTTAAGCGTCCATTCTTCTATAGTAGGCAAGCAATCCTTTTTCCATTATTATTATTATTATTATTATTATTATTATTATTATTATTATTATTATTATTATTATTATTATTATTATTATTATTATTATTATTACTATATACAAGTATTTTCTTTATACTCATAGATTTGTTTACCTAAAACTGGAATTACACATAGCACAGTCTAAAACAGTGTTTTTCAAACTTGCTGGCTGGGAAATTCCAGGAATTGAAGTCCACACATCTTAAAGTTAATACTGGTCTAAATTATTCCACATTCCACTAAAAGAGCCACCATGACAGGTTCTACTTTAACGTTTCCCCATTTTTTCTAGATATACTTTTGTACATCTACTCTACTTTTAATTTGGGGGAGGGGGCAGGGGCATACAAAAAGATTAAAGTTAAGAGATGTGGTGGCACAGTGGTTAGAATGCAGTATTGCAGGCTAATTCTGCCAACTGTCGATTCTTACCAGCTCAAGATTGACTCAGCCTTCCATCCTTTCTAGGTTGGTAAAATGAGGACCCAGATTGTTGGAGGGCAATAGGCTGACTCTGTAAACCGCTTAAAGAGGGCTGTAAATCACTGTGAAGCTGTATATATAAGTCTATTGCTATTAAGAACAGAAACAAAATCAGGTGGAAATGCCCTGAGGGATTGCTTAGAAAAGATCTGGGTGAACACAGTGGTTAAGTGTTGTTGAAATTGAGAAGAGATAAATCAATAGAAAGAACTCGGCACAATAAGAGAAATATCAAAAGAAGCTATTGCTGGAAGGAAAATAAAATAAAAAATATATAAAAGCAAGGAGAAGGGGGGGAACCCAATCTTCTGAAAACAGGAATGGCAGTTAAAGGGAAGCTGACAGAGTCAAGAAAGGTCCCAAGGGAAGGCTTGTATATTGTGGTGGAGAAGAACAGAGCAGCCACATGGGGTGGTACATTGCATAGCAAACTGGTTAAGGATCCCCATTTAAGAGCATGTAAAAAGCAGAATAAGGAAAGGCAATCGAGGCAGAAGGTATCCCAAGTCTAAGCAGAACAGGGGGCCAGCAACTTCATTGAAGGGTTCCTGTTGTCAGACTTCCTATGTGGTGAGAGACTGAAACACAAACTAGAAGGCGGGAGCTATGTGAGCAACAGATGACTGTTCTTGTCATTAGAACTGCAATTGCTGCCTTCGCTACAGCCACAACCGTTGCCATTAAAGAGAAATGGTTTGTTGACACGCTGGGAGAAGAATTGATGGGAGTGTAATAGACAAGTCAGTAATGGCTTTGGAACACATTGCCTAGGGCCGAGTTCTGTTCACCTGTTTTCAGTGCTGCCTTTGCTGTGAATTTGGATGGTTTGTGAGATGGATTATAGAAACAATTGAAATGATTCCTAAGTGGTGACAGAAGAGCCACATCGGATGAAAGAACTTTGAACGATAGGCCCAAAACCAAGAATGACATGTGGTGCTTCCTCCAAGCTGAGTTCTTTACTGTTTCACACCTATAGACAAAATCGTGCCAGACTGAGCACTCCACTATCTGTATCTACAATATATTCTGTAAATTATGAGGGAGGGGTTGCCTTCGCCCTCTTTCCCTTATACATAATACCTGGCTTGAGTTCCCTCTTTGGAATGTGGGAATCCACCTCCATACTATATTCCATCGCATCAAACTGGATAATGGACTGCAGTTGGTCTTCTTGTCACTTTCAGTGGAGGGTGAGGAGAAGTCTGTCGGTGGAGGCTGTTGGTACCCAACTTATCCAGACAATAGGTAGTGGGTGTGTGCCAATTTATATGCCTCGTGGGCATGGGGTAGAGCTACCCATCTATAATTTAACAAAACCTTCCTGAGGTAAGACATGAGAGAGGGAATGTAGACCTCCACCTTGTATGGTGAACAGCTAGGGGACAAGATCTCAACTTCAAAGTACTAGTGTGTGGGAGGAGAGAATCTGGGGGAAGGGTTTGTAGTATTCTTTGAGCCCCTATACTAGGAGCTGCCTTCCTTATGTCAGTGGCCCTTTCTCATTGGCTGAATGTGGGTTGATGCTACAGCCAATCAGTGTTTGGAGGGATATTTCCTATGGTTCGGGCATTGTTAACATGTTTTGTAACATAATGTTTTATTTTTCAGCCACTTACGCTACAACCACTCATTTTTTTTCAACACTTGACTGGGCCTTGGGTGTCTATTAGCCAGAAGTGACCAGTGTTTCGGGATTCCCACAACATGGGCAAACAAGGAAAAGTGCTTTAACGATCAGTTGATTCAGGGAACACTGGGATTAGTATAGTCTCAAGTTTCTGGGTTGACATAAAACATGGATCTAGCAACGACTCTTAACGGCACCTCCTGCATTGTCCACCTTAAAAGTCATGAAGAGAAAATACTGATCCAACTTTTCTTCTTCAAAGGTGAAGGAAATTGTGGCGCAGCACACCAAAGAGTGGTCCGAGATGATCAACACCCACAGCGCAGAAGAGCAAGAAATGCGTGATCTGCACCTTAGCCAGCAGTGTGAAGTACTGAAGAAGCTGTTAATTAATGTGCATGAACAGCAGACACAACAACTGAAGCTTTCTCATGACAGGTCAGTATAATAATATACTGTTATTCTATTGTTTGTTCACTTGGAAATGGTTGAATTTAGCCCAATGTGGGAATGTAGGAGATGAAAGCATTTCTCATCACCATCCAGGCTCACCTAATAAAAAAAAATCCTTCTGTCAACTGACTATTGTTTTACAAAAAGGTGCAGCCATTTCTCTGATAGTGCTGAGAATAATCTGATGTCGGTTGTATAAACATAATGACTGGCAGATCAAAACAAAGGGAATGTAATCCTCAGTCTAGAATGTTTAAAGTTGAAATTTAAACACCAGAATTTTCTCTTTTCTTTTCTTTTTTTAGAGAAAGTAAAGAAATGCGTGCCAACCAAGCAAAAATTTCAATGGAAAACAGTAAAGCCATAAGCCAAGATAAATCTATCAAAAACAAAGCTGAAAGAGAAAGGTACATATTGCTTTGCTGGTTATAGAATAAATGTTCATAGGGAAGATTCATGGGCTACTTTGCTTAATTTGTGTAGAGAAAATTGCCTTCCCAATAAATCATTATTGCTTAATACAGTTGGAACCCACCTCAAAAATGTAATGTGAATTCCATTATATTCAAGTAACATTCCAATAAATAATTGGCTGAAGTTTTCAGGGGTTATTTTGTCCTGGGAAGAGAGGAGCATTCCTGTATTTCTAAAGTTTATGTACTTTTGCAAATATTGGAATTCTTCCAAGTGAAAATACAGGAGGAGGCATTCAAGATACATGGGCTCTTAAGATAAACGAAAGGTTTTTAAATAAAGATACAATACCAGAATGAAATCAGAGGCCCAACAAAGCTTTATTAATTTCCTTAAGCATAGCTATCTCCATTTCCATATGCATCACCTGAACCCGCTCAACTAGATCTAGCCAAAGCCCTAGCTAAGGTGATGAGAGAAATGTGGTCCAGACACAGAAACAACTGCTTTCTTTGCTTCACTCAATTTTATACAATGACTTGTTGCTAGGCAGATTCATAGGTGCACTTGAGTTTAGGTACTGGAGAAATGAGCCATTTCTACGATTATCAGAATCTTTCAGCATACTATTACACAAGCATGCTTTGCAAAACCCAAGTTTCTAAAGAAAGGGGGCTCTTTAGAAGCCTGGATTTTGCAAAGCAAGCTTGTGTAATGGGTACTGCTGAAGGTTTAGCCTTTTTAACTTTGCATAAGCAATATTACTCCAAAACTTCATTGGAATACAAACTGTGACCTTTCTACATCTCATAAACGGCATTCTTTGGAGATGCAAAAGCCAAAGAATCATTAAAATACTGTGGTACATTAATAAACAAATAGCCCTTAGCAGAATCAATCAATCAATCTTTGTTATGGTTGCAGACCCGCAAATAAAAGCATTAAAACAATAATAATAGTAAGAAATAAAAATAAAAGACGGACTTAATAATATATTGCAATTGGTGGTGGATTTACCGTGGGCAATTAAAGTTTGCCTAATTTCACATACAGCATAGCAGAATCACCACTGTTGTGCAGTTGGAAATCCAACTTTAAAAAAAATATTTTTAATAACCAGTATACCTTCTTTTGGTTTATTTAAATGTCATGCCCTCTGGAATAATGTAAGGTAAATTCACTGGTTCCCTAAATATCTATACCCATACTTTTTTGGATCTTTTGAGCTATTGGCATACATTCTTTCTATAGTACCCAAACTTAATTCATAACATCTTTCCATACCTTTCACATCAACTTCCTTTTATCAGCTTTAAACCCAGTTAACACATACAAGGTGAGGTGACAACATTTGTCTCTGAGACTGGGTCTGTCAGGAATAAAGGTTGGCTTGTATGCTTTGATTTAACTTTGCCAGTGCTGTCTATATTTCAGTCTTGGATTCTTCTTCATTTCGTTGCTTGCTATTTAGGTCTGTTGGGTGTTTTTCCCCCTCTCTTCTACATGATTAATTTCAGATCTAACTAAAGAAACAAAATCTACAGCTTAATACTAATGATATAAATGATTGGTTTATTCCTCTTGGTAGACTAAATGGTTTGGTCTGTTATTTTTAGTCTATTTGTTTTATTTCACTTATTTTATACTGTTGTTTCATCTTCTGTACTATATTGCCATAGCTGATACTTATAGCTGTAATACTAATAAAGCTATAATTCTTATTGTTAGATCTCAGGGTTAGAAAGCATTTCAGTTTTCTGTGAATAATACCTATATTTTTGTTACCGGTCACTTATTGTAAACCTTAACTTTTTATTTCTGGAATGATTGTAATTTGATACATTTTATACTGGTCTACAACTAAAGTCCAGGAAGAGTAGGAGAGCTCTTAACCCTTTTCTCAATGACATTTTGATGTGTAATACAACTAGTATTACATATAATACTAGTAGTAAATATATCATTCATAGGCGGGTGAGGGAGCTGAATAGCAGTAATACAAAGAAGTTTCTGGAAGAAAGAAAACGGGTGAGTAGTTAATTATCTGAAATATCATAAACTTTTTTTTTAAAAATCTGAATTGTTTTCCAAGAAGTGATGAAATTGAGTAATTGAAAGATGGAAGGTAGAGTGAAAATAGGAACTGCTCATGAAATAAACACAATAAAGCATTTTTAGAAGTCGTGACTTGAAAAAAGGAATATTTGAGGGCTTTGGGTCCAGTCTAATGTATTCACACAGAAAAGGTTATCTGTGACTAACTAAAGTCTGAAGGCAGATAATCTGTCTTTTTTTTTTTTTCTGTCTTGGTTCTGTTGGATATTCATGTGTCTTTTATCAGATATCTGCTTTTCTCTAAGTGCTTTCCTAATTTAGAAATTTCTCCCCCCGAATATAATATATGTGTTCTATATTTCATACTCTTCATTGGGTAATTTTAAATTTCACATTGTGAAATACAGAAATATACAGGTCTCAACTTGAATTTTGATTCGTGGATATGTTCCGAAAATGCATATTGGTTAAATTTGTATCAAGAGAGGAACAGAACGGACTTCTCCCCACCCTTTGTTGCTCTTGATTTCCCTGAGAACACTGTTAACTGAAAGTACCTGAATAGGAATGTCTCAGAAGGAAGGCTGAAATAAGTGAACTGTTGTTGTAGATCAGGGGTCTTCAAACTTGGCCCTTTTATGACTTATGGACTTCAACTCCCAGAATTCCTCAGCCAGCTTGTCTGGCTGAGGAATTCTGGGAGTTGAAGTCCACAAGTCATAAAAGGGCCAAGTTTGAAGACCCCTGTTGTAGTCAATTGCATGTGGAATAGCAGCTTTGGTTTGAATCCTGTCCCAGCAATCTCATCTGTATGCATCCTGTTTTGAGGCATATTCTAAACATTCTAAAACTTGAAATTTGTACAGATTAAAAAGCTGAAGACACCAAATTCAATATAAGAGTCTCTCGACTAGTGCTCTTTTTGTTTCACAAATATTTTTAGAAATTGGAAGAGACTGGTTTATATAGATAATACTCCTCCTTATCCAATAAGTAAGTGATGAATCTAGTTACACTGTTTGAATTGGTCAGACAGGTGATCAGTTTCTTACGCTTAATTCCTACCATGAAAATTATTGATACAAAAATAAAAATATGCAAACTCACAATCCTCCTCCCCACCACCCCAAAATTCAGCCGTCATTTTCTTATTATTCTCCCATTCCGGCTTTGGAATGTTAGTTGTGCTGAGATAGGACATAGCACCCTGCATGAACTTAACCTGTTTGCTTGGTTTATGATTTAGGGTATTGTGAGGACACAAACAAATGGTTCATCAAATAATTGCATTGAACTTGTTATGTGTTCCATGGCACCGGGTGTTGTATGTATAATGATGTGGAACATTTGTAGCCTATGCGGTGACATGACCAAGCCCTTTTAGTGCCTTTGTCAGAAAGCAACATAAGCCTAATGGGGTGCACAGTTTAGCTATATTGAGCCCCGTACTGAGGTCATTTCCAAAAGAGATACCTCTTAGAGGAACATTGAAATCCTCATAAGAATCAGAGTTTTCCTTTGGATCATTCTATCAGTCTGAAGAATTAAGATGTTCTGTAGAATTGAATGGATGCTAATATACGCACCCCATATAGGTATCTCACTCGAATTTTCTTGGGAATGTTCTCTCTAGCAAAATAGCAGTTTTTATATATAGTAGAGCTAAAAACATAGAGTATCTCAAATGAAAGAGTCATCTCTTAATACATTTCCTCAAGATAAAGATCGACTTCATTTAATTGTAGAATGCTCAAATCACATGAAGGAGAGCACAGGAAGTTTCTTATTATCCTTTTTTCTTTTTCTCTTTTTGGCATTATGTCCCCTTATTCCTAAGCAACATTTTGGGGAGAACTACTTTTAAAAACCCATATAACCCAAAAGCATGTGGTTATTTCATTTTCCCCTTTTCTGGTTTTGCTTACAGTTGGCAATGAAGCAATCAAAGGAAATGGATCAGTTGAAGAAAGTCCAACTTGAGCATCTAGAAATTTTGGAGAAACAAAATGAGCAGGTAACCAACACCTGGCTGTAAAAGGAAAGGGAATCTGGGAGCTGTGACCTATTATCTGGTTATTGATTTATTTGGGGCAAGGAACTTATGACTTATTTGGATCATATGAGTATCAGACTGGAGACTGCCCTGTGCATCACTTATAATTTATAGACCATGCCAATGTATGAACCAGTACTAAGAATGCGAGTCTATGAATTCCAAATATGCATTTTTAAGTTTGACTCTAAAGCAATATATCTGAAGCCTAAAAGTGAAGTGTTGAGCTGTGCCTGTGAGGATGTCATTTTCTGACCCAAGAAAGGACCCCAGTAGCTACTTGCTAAAATTAGAAGAGACTTGCTGTATCATTGGAAGCTAATCTTGTGCAAAGCAGACATTTAGATAGAACTGAAATTGTATCCCCACAATCTTTTTCAATATCCACTCTGACGTATGCGATATTTCCTTAGTAGAAGCAAAGCCAATCTACAAGAATCTTCATTGCTGCTTCTAGTATTGTTACTGTGATAGACAAATGAGAAGCAGCCTGCTGCTCTTCAGACGTTATGGATTTCAGAGTCCCAGCTAATATGGACAATGGCTAGGAATGATCAGAATTTTAGTCTAGAACATGTAGTTACTGGTAAGTTTTGTTATAGAAAAATGGTATTTGTCAATTCAGTTATTGTGAAAACCATGCTAAGTGATCAAGGAAAGATAAAAGATCAGTTTTAACCTGTTTTGCTGAATTGTCTACGGTGTAAATAAATTACATTAAATTCTTTAAGTAGGTTTGTCTAAAATCAGAATCTCTAGAAACTACTCTAGGTTCGATGTAAATTGTTCGTTGAGCAATAAGTCCTATTTCCTGTTATATTCCATTATAAGTAGGGGTGCAGTGAGTGAGCATCTACTAGTTTGGTCTAATGGTTATGGAGTTGGTCTAGCAACAGGGAAACCTGAATTCTAGTCCTAACTCAGGGACGAAAACCTCTGGGTGGCCTTAGTCCCATCACTCTCTCAATTTTAGGAAGAAGGAAATGGCAAACCTTTTCCAAAGATGTTGCCTATAAAACTGCATAACTGCATAAAGTTGTTAGGAGTTAACTGGGACTCAAAGATGATATAGCACGGGTGTCAAACTCAATCGCATCATGTGACATATCATGATTTTTTTGCCTTTATGGAGCTGGGGTGGGCGTGGCCTGCGCATGACGCATCTGGCCCACGGGCCGCCAGTTTGACACTCCTGTGATATAGATAAATAGATGAGTATAATGCATTAACTGCTTTTCATAACTTTATCATTTCTGCTATAATTTTGAAACTTACTTCTCCATCATTTCCTTCATTACTGACACACTCAAAAACTATTTACTGGTTTGATTTTTTCCCCCCTCTAATTTAACTCAGCTTTATCAAGTACAGTAAAATTAGTGAATTGCACTAGAAATCTGTACCTTGATTAATTAATAATGAAAGAAAGAGAAATGCATCACATCTTTAATGGGTATACCTATTATCCATTAAAGATTTGATGCGTTTCTCTTTCTTTCATTTTGAAAACAAGATGAAACTAGAGAAAGCCAGACCCAGACTAGAGTAGACTAGAAGAAAAGAAGTCTTTTTCTTGCATTTATGTTGTCATCTCACTTTTCATTCAGTTTATTTGCTTCATTGTGTTGCTGAATTTTGACGTTATTATTTTTATACAAACAGCTTTTGAAATCCTGCCATGCAGTTTCTCAAATTCAAGGTAGGAGTTATGTATTCTGAGCAAGCTACTACTACTTTATAGATATCAATTGATGACTGATCCATATTGGCTTGATTTAGAATCAATTTGGTACTTCCAAAGGATCCCACTTTCCAATAATTCTGTTGACATGCATTGTGTTGCCCCATGTATACCCTACTAGAGGCCCCCAAAAGCTGGAATTGTATTTGTGGGCTTTAGGTTTCACAGATAGCTAGTTTCTTATAAAATACATCTCTTAGTTTTTGTGTATGTGGAGTCTTATTCACGTCTAGGTTTCATACAAAACAATTTTGCCCATAATTATGAATCCTCTAAACGTAGGCATCATATATGACTGACAGTTCCTTATACTGAGTAACTGTGTGCATTGTAATTGGTCAAATTCTGCATAAAATTGGACTGTCAGTTCATTCAAAGCAGGCAAATCTCACTTTTTGTTGAAAAACAAATCAAATATATTGGGGGAGGTGGGGGGGGGAGACCGTCTAGCTGCAGAAGTAAGTTTTTCAGGGACTCTTCAGTCATCACATTTTGGGGGAAATGTGTTGACATTTTTGCTTGCAAATGTCATCCAGCTTCATCAACAATTTCATTTGCCCATATTTCACATCTGACTTGAGTCCTGGCCAAAATGGGCAACTTCTGATTTAGACCTAGTAGAAAGGGCTACTTTTTGAAGCCTGAACTAAAACATTAAAACTGGCAAGTAGTTAGAACATTGTAGAGTCAGTTTTGGTGCAGCAGTCCCATGCTACAAACTGGGAGACTGAGTTTTACTACCATGTTAACACAAAGCCAGCTGGTTGACCTTGGGCCAGTCAGTCTCTCACTCTCTCTCTCAGCTTAGGAAGGAGGCAAGGACAAATAACTTCGGGAACTGTAGGAACTTGTACAGACTGTTGCCAGGAGTCAACACTAATTTAAAAGGACCAAAAATTAAAAAAAATGCCATTTTGTATGCCCAGCACTAGTGAATGTTATAACATTGGTACAAAAACATTTTTGCCCCATTGAGATTTCTCTGGTTTTGTTGTCATAATTTCCAGCATATTTTATTGTATCTGAAGCATGTGATCTAATTATAAATGATTTATATAAGTAGTAATTGTCCCCTTTTTGGAACCATTGTTTAAAACAGTGTGCAATCTGTCTTACAATAGGGCTCCGAGAAATAAAGGGGGAGCTCCTGTTTTTCAAATCAGATCAGTCTGGTTTAGACAATAGGGATGAACAGATGAACAAAGCAAAGTGAAAATCATTGTAATATAGAGACTTAACTCTCAGGAGCTGTCAATTGTTCATGGGAAAAAATGCTACCAGATACATCATGTGACTGAAATAGTTTCGAGGCAGGCAGGTAATATCACCCTTACTAATTTTATTAACATTATTAATACAATAAAAAGGGAAATTTGTGGGGGGAAAACAGAATAGCCTTAGCACTGTCCAGTTCATGCTTTTCCAGAAATCAAGTTAGTGGACTAAACTGCTAACATATTCTTTCTGACTAAAAAATAGATTTTTGTGATACTTGAAAAAATAGATTGTAGCACAGTCAATTCCAAAGTGTGTTGGTAGGTACGAGATTCCTACATTCTTTTCTCAAAAATAATGTTTCCAATGGAGAAGAGTTATCAAGATCCTGGCTCATTTGAAGTTGTAGCATGCCAGTTTTGTATCTACTGATTGTTTTCTGAAAGGAGACCAAAACTGTGCAGTATGCTGGCAAAAGAGAAAAGGACATGGGAAAAATTATGAAGTAACATTCCTGAACACACACAAAAAAGGAACATAAAACTTGCTATTGGACTTGGACATAGGCAGTGAGGTTCAAGACAAATATTCAGATACGTGAACTAGATTATTCTGCCAAGGGTGGGACTCTTTCACTACTTGCTTACCTGTGCCACCTTGACAAAGGCAGTAGCCAGTTGGGTCCGCAAGTTAATGTGATTTCCCATGATGTCATGAAACTGTGGACCATCAGAGCCTGTAAAGTGTACCTGGCAATGTCATAGAATAATTGGGCTGCCCACTGCAAGAAATGATGCTTGGATCCTGCCTAATGTGTTAGTTTTAATTTGGACCGCAATTAAATAATACTTTTGGATGCTAAACCATTGTGTGCCCTTTCCATCTCTATTCTATCTAAGGTGGTGAAAATCATGCCCACAAGAAACTCCATCTTCAAGCAGTTCCTGAAGCCCTGGTTTACTTAGTCATTGAATGGCTTCTAGATGGAGGATCTCTGAATTCATTTGGAAATAATTCAGCTGTTGAATTATGCCACAATTATGCCAGTATTTCAAAGGAGGCTGTACTTTTCTGTCAATGCATTGTGTTCCAGCTTTGGGCTTTTTCGATTATGTTTTGGCTTGAAATGGCATTCATTTGCCCTTTCTGGTTGTTTTCCAGAAAGAACCATATTAATAGCATCTGCTCTAAATACTTAGATTTGTATTTGATCGGTGAAGAATTATATTTGCCTAGTATAAATAAATAGTCCAGACTTGATTTATCCAGTATCTCTTTGCCCATTCTGAAGCTGCGGGAAGCACCACAGATTATTGTATGGCTCCCTTATGTTTCCCCTTTGATCCGTGGGGTGATTCTGAACGTTGGTCCTTTTTTCACTCCGTAACACAGAAGTGCAGCGCCAAGAACCTAGACTTGGATGTACTGTCTCATTCTTCTCCCACATCCACATTCAGTCATGCTAACAGCCCAATTCTCCTGCTTTGCAGGCCAAGGAGATGCAGCAGATGGTGAAGCTAGAGGCAGAGATGGACCGCAGGCCTGCAACAGTGGTATAAAGCTCCAGTGCACAAACTGAAGTCTGAGGCCATCTGATATATATAGATATATATTGTCTTTGCAATGATACTAAACTGAAGTTTGGAAGATGGGATCTTTTCTGCTTGGTGTCATGTAGCAAATCTCTGCTGAAGAGCTTGGATTTTGGGGGGAGGGCGAGGGGGGAAATACTGTACTTTATTTTTCCAAATAAGACTCTCCTTCTCAGAAGAAAGCATATGATTTTTAAAATCCGAGAGTACTGCCCTTAACACGATGGCAGTCTTTATCTGAATTATAAACACAACACTTATTTTTGTCCTTGAAAAGGTTTAGTCGTGTTTGACTCGCCTTCGTATTTTATATTACTTTTTGCCTGGGCTTCCTTGACTTTGGAAAGACCACTAACTCTCCTATAATTTCCCAGAATCAATCTGCCTCCTGAAACAAGAACCGCTGAAGAATATTTCATAAGATTTCCCCTGCCCTCCAAAAGAAAACGACCTTGTAATACATTTGATAGCGTCAGTGGCTATCTCTCTCTGAAATTTCGATTTTGCCATGAGGACTGCTTGGACTAAAATGTTACCAAATGAAGTGTTGCAATGTAGAGTCCATCTTTTCCAGAAGTTGTTTCTCCATGCTGTTCCATTCCTCTCGTTCTTCATGTTTTCCTTCCAATGATGGGTCTGCATTATATGGACATTTGATATGCCCAGTCCTAATAGGGCTGTTTTAGAAGATATCCTATCCCTTTGTCTGTATCTGTGGGGTTTTTTTTTCCTCCAAAAATATTTTATACTCTATAAACCTTGACAATGTATAATGCCATTTTGGCTGCATAGAAACGGGCTCCGTAGAGATATAACTTATATCAGAATACGATATTGGGAAACTCTCATCTATAAACTTTGTAGACTAGATAAACGTTCATTATTGAAGCTGTGCGGGTTATTTCTGTGTTCAGAATGTCATCATCAGCAAGTGCCATGCTGGACTGGATACGTCTGAATTTGAAGTGGTATTTTTTTTGTAAAATCCTGTTGAAAGGATTGCAAGGTAGCAAAAGACTGTTCCTGTGCCATATTGATTTATGATGCTGTAGTTAAAAAAAAATATGAAGGAATTGTATTTTAGGCATTCTAACCAGAGTTTACAGATTACCTAAAGGTTGCATTTCAATTAACTTGTCGCCAGTCCCAAATACTACTGTTTTTGTGTTCTAAAATTTAAATAGATTTTGGGGGGAGGGTGTTCTGTGATAATGTAAAGTATTTATACAGATTCAGTCACAATCTTGTGGAAAAATCACATTCCTGTAGCAGCATTAGCAGTAGTGAACAAAACCTCTACTTGCATGTGGTAACAAACACCAGTTCTGACCAGTTGAATATTGTATGGCCACCCAGTCATTCTCTTACTGGTAAATAAATACAGAAACAATGTATAAAACAGAATATTTGACTAACAAAATATCAGTATAAATAATATATATATATATATATACACAAACATATATATATATAGTTGTGTATATGAAGTATGTGGGCATTCTTACAGGTCGAGTTGAAAAATTATGTTAATTTAATTTTACACACTATATTTATGCAGATTTTCTGACTTTCATATGAGGAAATGATCCTTTTTATGTCTATTAGATATCCAAATAATTTGCTACAGTATTAATGTGCACGTTCTCAAAGCCCACTGTAGTTACAATGCAGAACAGTGCACGTCAACCTTCTGCTTGGAAGTCTCCATGTTACCAACATAAGCAAGACTACGAGAAACGGGTAGTTTAGAACAAAATCAGATAACTGATTTCAGTAATAGTACTGATCATGTTGTTGTAAATGTAAACTGATTCAAAATATTCCTTAAAATGGCATATGGAGATAATTATGTAATTGTTCTGAGATACAACTTTCAGATTCTCTAATAAAAACCCCTGAAACAAAGTTAGTATCTGTTCTTATAGATCAAATTATTATGGGGTGTGTGTGTGTATGTGTGTGTGCCTGAGTGTGTGTGTTAAAACGTCTTCCTCACGTAAATATTTATTTTTTTCAGCCTAATCTGCTTTGACATCCTTATGGTTTTAAACTATATTCTTTTATCACGTTACAGATGTCTCACTAAAGAATACTAGCTGGTTTTACCTATTTTTTATGGAAAACCTATTAATACTGCTGAATCCTATTTGAAAAATACAATAAAAACAATTTTTATACTCAATTACACCAGTAACATCCTTTTCTTGATGCTAACTCTGCATCCACAAGTACTTCCTAGGTGGCACATACATGGATCATTTTCCCTCCTTAATTTCTTCAGCCTTTTCTCAATCTTCATTTCTGTTGTGTTACACAGCAGCTGTCCTTGTGACAATTAACACTGGCCTGGTCAAGCTTTAACAATTCTGAAACAAGTGACACTCTCTGACTCCCATTGTGAGATCACTGTCAACATGTTTTATATTGTATTTTGATGTGAGTCACTAAAAGTCACGCTTTATTGTGGCAGCATAAAAATATGTTTAATAAATGTTTCCTCTGTACGATTGCCACACACTAGATTAAGGGACTGAAGATCTCACATTCTACAATAATGGTGTGATCAGCAAGAGTTTTCTCTCTTCCAGACATAATTCAAATTTAGTTCCTGTTTTTAATAGGCTATATTTTCTTATGCCAAGGATCAAATCCTCAAATCGTTGTGCATTCCTCAAGTACCTCTTCCGGAAATAGAATTCAGTACATTATATAAGCATGGTTTCATGATGTTCCTATGTATATATTCATTTTACAATGCAGGAATTTTCTGTTTAGATCAGCGGTCCCCAACCTTTCGTCGCTTGGCGGCCCAGCTGGAGGGGCAGAAGGGATCCAGGGTAGGTGAACAGCGATCCAGCAAGCAAATGCACATGCAGCTCAATTGCAAGTTGAGCTGCACATGCACGTGTGTGTGTCGACCCATGGCCCTGTTGCGAATAGGCCACAGCCCAGTAACGGGCCACAGCCCGGGGGTTGGGGACCCCTGGTTTAGATGAAGCCCAATTAAGACTGTTGTCATAGTGCACAGCTCTTCCACTGAGATTTTTTAAGAATTGGATCTGAGAAGCTATTCTTTCTTCTGTTTTCCAAAGTTCCTGGGCAGTTGGGAAGGTCTACCAAGAATAGGCTGTGGCATTAACTGCTGAAGGACCCAGGAATATTAGTCACGCCATCTGCAATCTTCCACTTTTCTTCTGACTCCCAAATTCTCACCTCATCTCATCCAGCAACATTTCAGCTCCTTACATTCAGTAGGGTGGGGTCATTATGTGCACTCAAATGGAAATGAAATATTTGAAAATTAGCTGCTGCCTTCCCCTTTATGTAGCTCCACGTTTGGAGAGATTAAATGATGTATACTAGCATTCCAGTATCACCCATATCATCACAACAGTTAATATCCGAATCTTAGATAACGCTTCAACTGCAAATGTTATTGAATGGTTTAGATATTAACTATTATCTGCATGTTAAAACAAGCCACGTGGTTTCCCAATGTTCCATCTGCATATGAACACCAAAATTTTAGCCCACTTTATTATACAGTCTTTCACTTTTTCTTTCAAATTTCAATAAATTTATACAATTGCATATTTATTTGTACACAATTTTATTTCAAACTCAGTCTTACAATGTTCAAAAGCATTATTTTGTCTACTTTAAATCTTTCCAATACTTGTAAGTACAAAAACCATTGATACCTATATCTCCCTGCCACCGGTTCTACTGATTCTATTTTACATTCCCCTTGACAAAATTCTAGTATCTCACAATACATTAGCCATTTGTATTTGCCCATTACTTCTAAACTATAAAATGATTCTTGTGCTAAGATCCACAAAGGTGTTTTTGGACAGAAGCTGGGTTTATAGCTATTCCATATTCTCAATATGGCATGTCTAAAATAGTGATTTTTAAAATCTTCATTAATCTTGACTTTATCATACCACAAATATCCATGCCACCCAAATTTCAAGTCGTGCCCTGAGTCAAAAGCCAAATGCTGGACAATTTAGGGCTGGTTGAGATATGGAGATAGAAAAATGGCAATTCTAGAGAGTACACCTATTTTTCTGAAAAGCATAATCCTTTTCAAGAGTATGCATGATCCGAACTTCAAATAATTTAGCTGCTACGGTTTCTAAAGTGGCAATATTACCAAAGACAAATTCATAATCCACTGAGTTTGGTTTATAAATGCAAACCTCTCAGATGGAGAAACAGCAGTCCTGTGAGCGTACAGACCGGGTACTTAATATTTTAAATGTATTATCATTTCCCCAAGTTGCCAGTTTCTGGTCTAATATACAGATACATTGCTTTTTCATCCATCGTTGTAGAGACATCGTCCACAAAACATCCTGCACTAACTGGGAATGCCAGTTAGACTTGCCTTTTCACTCCCATATTGAATCAATCAGTTTGTTGCTCCTTCCCAAACCAGCTTGATTATATTGTTCTTCCTTTTGTTAGAGAGACTCTGCTTGATCTGGTGGCTAAGGCACCAAGGTAGAAACCAGGAGAATGTGAGTTCCAGTCCCATGCCTTCTCATGAAAGCCAGCTGGGTGACCTTGTCATTCTCTTTCAGCCCAATCTAATTCAGAGTGGGGTTGTGGGGAAAATAGGAGGAGAAAGGAGTATCAGATAATGGGTTTTTTTAATATAAAAATAATAAAGGTGAGATATAAAATAGATAGATAGAGATAGATAGATAGATAGAGATAGAGAGAGAGAGAGAGAGAGAGAGAGAGAGAGAGAGAGAGATAGGCATGCTGTAGTGAAGATGTGTGATTCTTACTGCTATCACTATAACCAAATACAGCGATAGTTTTATCTGACAAAATGATCTAATGCCCAGTGCTTCCAAAGAAACTTAAAAACTACTTCCATTATTGCGGTTTTGCTTGCCATAATGGTAAAAACCCGTTCTTTTTGCCACCTTCTGTCTAGAGAAGACATGGAGACTTCCGTTCCACCCTATCAGTTTTGGAAATTACATTGTAAATCACTGCTACCCTTTCAGTCAATAGAAGCCAATAACCTCATAAGGGCTGTGAGCTGTATTCGGGAGCTCTGAATGGAGAGACAAAATTGCAGCAGCTGCTCTTTCTTTGCATGAGCCCAAACCTTATCCTGGAACCAACTGCCTAATTCAGAAGTTACCCACTGCAAAAAGCGTAGTGTCTCTCCCTAGTATGTCAGATGTCTGAATGCAATATCCTAGCAAGGATTGGATGCTTTGAAAAATGTGGATGCTTTGAAAAATGTGGTATTATCCAGAGAAATCACACAAGAACTCGGAACAATGAGTCCACGATGGCGTAAGCTTTGGAGAAGTGACCGGCTTCAAGTTCATTATACAAATGTAGGAGAGTAAGGAATGAACAAAGGAATTTGCTACTTCTGATGGCATGTTGGGGGAAAAAAAATCTGGTTAGTCATTTGAATTAGAGGCAGAAAATTCACTTGATCAAGAACTGAGAAAAAAAATGTCCTATTTCCCAGCCCTCAGGAAAAATATATATGAGATTTTCTCTTTCGTGTCTTCTAAATATTGAAGATAGTCTAGTTTGGCAGCTGAGTGAATTCCTGATTATTTGGCATCTGCTATTGCTTAGAAAGCATTTTTATAACAATGAACAAGCTACCTTCAACCTTTGGCAGATCTCTTAAAGACAACTATCCCTCTTTTTTTTCCCACAACGAACTGCTTTAAAAATTTTAATGACTCAAGTTTTTCCACAGCTCAGGCTAAATCAGCGGTTCTCAACCTATGGGTCGCGACCCAATTTGGGGTCAATCAACCATTTCACGGGGGTCGCCAAGCAAGGCTATCCGCCATTTTTTTCCCTTTTCCAGCGGGTGCCTTACCTCCCTTGGGCTGGGCCAGCTGGTGGTCAGCCTGCTCCGTCTCTGCCGCTTGCCAGCTACGCCTCGGCCGGCGCAGGGGGCGGAACCACGCATGCGTGGCGCTCCCGGGCAGGGAAAGTCCTCGACTTACGACCGGCTGGGCAGTCCTCGACTTACGACCGGTTTAGTCCTCGATGTACGACCGATTTAGTCCTCGACTTACGACCGGTTTAGTCCTCGACTTACGACCGGTTGGGGGTCGCGGCATTAAAAAGGTTGAGAACCACTGGGCTAAATAGTCATTGGAAATCTCAGGTGTATAATAATACATTTATTTTGTTATCTCCTATTGTCCCATTTAAAATAATCTTGCTATTGATTTACTGATGCTTCCCCTACCTCCCCCCCTTGTTTTTCTTACAGAGCTCTTAATCAATTTAACTTGCTTGGCTTTAAAGGGAAGTGTTTAAAAAGGAGGAAGAAGGAAAAGAAGTCGTGCTTCCTCATTCCTGCCCTAATCGAAGTGGCAGGAGTTTGGAAGTGATGGAAGGTCTGCCAATTAAAATTGTTCTCTTCATTAAGATTGAGGGAGATAGGCGGTCTAGAAATACAAAACATACATACATACATATATAAATAAATAAATAAGATCTCTATGTCTGATACAAATTAACCTCACGTTTGTAAAACCAATTAAATAGTGCAAACTCAATTGATCATCAGCCAAGACCCTGAGACTGTGGGTAGAGGAAACTGAGACCGCATGGGAGCCTTGAAACAAATAGGGGGAGAAATATAAAAGAGAGTGGGAGCATAATCAAGAACAAACAACATTTCCCACTTTTATTAGAGGGAAACTCTTCCTAGCCGTCTACTGAAAGAGCAGAGCTAAGAGGCGGAATGTTCCCCAGCGCAGAGGTAAATGGCGACAATCAGCAATGAAAAGCTGATGAAGAATCCTGGCCTGAATTTGATTAGTAGTTTGAAACAAACCTGGAAGTATGTAGGAAGTATCTTGTCTATACATCCCGGATTAGCAAAAGAATCCATGACC